ATTATATTGACCTCTTTTAGACGCTTGTTATTCTTTCCGTCGCTGTAAGGGGAGCGCCTGTCTCTTTCTATTTTACATTCTACTCCTCCTTTTCTTAGAGGAATAAGCATTGTAATTACATCGAGTGCACCGAGTTATTCTGTTCTAGGCATAAGTTTGGGTCAGTGTTGCTTAGTATTACTTCCCAGCTTTATCGGGTAGGACTTGGTTTACTTGGTACCACTATATGTTTTAGCTCTCAACATATATATTTTTTATTGAAGGTGAATTTGGTGAATGCTCCCTCGTGACTCGTCTCATTTTGTCGGTCTGGGGCTCCTGGATACATGTTTGAACCTCCATTATGTTGTGATCTGAGTATATTGTTTTTGATATGGTGACATTTCTTATCAGATCATCATTGTTAGTGAGATGAGGGTCTAGTGAATTCTCCCGTCTTGTAGGGCTCTTTTGATTTGCTGGTTTAAATTGAATTTATGTGCAGAGATTAAAGCTGTGTCGAGTGAGAGTTTTCATCAGAGCTGCTCTGGTGTTATTACTGCACAAAATAATTTGCTTTATTCTCCATTTTAGGTGCCTTTAAGTAGAAATCCCCCAGGAGCAAGATTGTTGGGTGCAGGACTGGAAGATTTTTTCCAGGGGACAGTGGTCAATTTTTAACAGTGTTCCTGGAATTGTGGGATGTTGCATCCGGAGGCTTGTAGCTCACATTGATAGGATTTTGGTTCTCGACCTTTACTGCTAAAATTCACTACTTCCTTTTGAGGCATTAAGCAGTTCTGTGCAAAACAAAGTGATCTGCATGTACAGGCCACCCCCCCCTTTTGCTGTTTCACTCTGTACATTCTGTCTGGTTAGTAACATGGGTCCATATTCGTTGTCCAGTGATCCTTTATGTGGGTCTCAGTGAAAGCCGCGAACATTGCCTTTGCCTCTGCAAGCAGTCCTCGGATGAAAGGTATTTTGTTGTTTGTAGTGGCTTTAGACCTGTATATTTGCAAAGAAGAATGTTATCGGACTGGTGGTATGGTTGGTACTGGGGGGGGATTTTTGTTTCCCGGCATTAGTATTCTGTATTGTTGGTTTGGAGTGGAGGGCCATCCGACTGTGGTTCCCTCCAGGAAGACTGGATTTGTGTGTACGATTTTGCATTTCCTGCCAGTTTTTTTTCCTTCCTGGCACTAAAAAAGACCTCTCCCTCTTGAGTGGCTGGGCTACCAGGTTTTCCCATGGCCTGGATGTTTTGTATCTTTTTGTCCCTTTAGAATGGTATGCCTGGCAATTTTAGTTATAGCACAGTCTTCCTGTACTGAAGAGGTAAACATTTCCAGGGGTGAAAATGCTTCAGAAGTGGTTTGCATTTTCTGTATTTCTTAGGGGATGGCTTTTTCTAGGGTGGTCATAGTTGCATGTCATCAGTTTTACAGTTTTCCATGCCAGCAGGATACAGTGCCATAGTATGTGCACAGGCTTGGTTTCCGCTTGCCTTGGGGTTTCTGTGACTGTATTCCCTGTTGGTGCCTGTTTCCCTGTCTTACTTATATCCGCCACTAGCACCAACAATGGAGCTCCCACCAGTTGTTTTGGTAATTTATCCTCACTATTGCTATTGAGAGTCTCTTGTTCAATTCTGCGGTTATTTCTAGTTTGCAATATTGGTTTTATCTTATCTTTGACTACACATGTTCCTACTTATGGGATCTGTCCCCTATGAGATCATTTATATTGTATTCCTTCTGCGTCTAATTCCCGATTACCTGGACAATATCTCCAGCTCACCATTTCTGTCTCCCAGGACAGTATCTCCAGCTTACCATTTCGTCACCCAGAGACAGCACATCCATCTTCACTTTACTGTCTCCCAGGGTCAGTATCTCCAGTTCACCTTTTCTGTCTCCAGGACGCACCGCCAGCTTCACCATTTCTGTCTCCCAGGACTGTATCTCCAGCTCACCAATTCTGTCTCCCAGGGACAGCCACTCCAGCTTTCACATTACTGTTCTCCAGGGAAGCACCTCCAGCTTCACCATTACTGTACCCAGGACGCACCTCAGCTTCACATTACTGTCTCCCAGGACAGCCTATCAGCCCCCACTTTTACTGACTACCAGGACATCACTCCAGCCTTACAGTTTTTGACTTACATGGCCAGTATCAGGGCAGTACCATTCGCCCAGACATTTTATGTTCCATCTGTTGAGAAAGCTTCAGGTTTTTCTATGAAAGCAGCTTTGATGTTGTCCTCTTTTAAATACCCTTGTATGATTTTAGTCCACAGATTTCCTCATTTGAGATAACCCAAAAACACTTCTCTGTTTAAATATGCTTGTAGATAGGTCTGGGATATCTGCACAAGGGGGGGCGTTGCACCAATTTCACAAAAATGACAATTTTTCAATGTGGAAGCCGGTTTGTTTGACTGACACAGACTACACAGGGCTTCATAATGATTTGAATGGTTGATTTACTGCAAATTCTACTAGCAACTCTTGAAAATTCTATTAATAACTTAAATGAAGCTCTAGCTATTTGTATTCTGTTTCTTAACTCTTTTTGTATCTTTGGACAGCTTACCGTCACGTTCCTGATTTTAATGGTTTTTGTTTATAGGGCGCCTATCAACCCATCCGTTTACAGTCTGCTTTATTGTCCAACGATACTGTTTGAAACCAGTCCCGGGTTCGGACCAGTCAAGGGATCGGACCAGGCAAGGGTTCGGGCAGGCGATCTGCTACTGATCATTTGGGTCACTTATTTAAAACATACTGGTCGGGTTGTTTTGAGCTAACACATGAAGGATTACTGGGAAATTATCGTGTATTGTCCAGACAGTGGAGGTTGTGTGTGTGTCCAGACAGTGGTTAGGTTGTGTTGTAGTGCCCAGACAGTGGGGGTGTGTATGGTGGTCAGACAGTGGGAAGTGTGTGTGTGTCCAGACAGTGGAGAGGTGTGTGTAGTGTCCAGGCTGTGGGGAAGGTGGAGTAGTTGTCCAGACAGTGGGAAGTAGTGTGTAGTGTCCAGGCAGTGGGAGGTGTGTTGTGTGTAGTGTCAGAAAGGTGGGGGTGTGTGTAGTGTCCAGACAGTGGGAGGTGTGTGTAGTGTCAGACAGTGGGAGGTGTGGGTAGTGTCAGGACAGTGGGAGGTGTGTGTAGTTACCAGGCAGTGGGAGGTTGTGTGTGTAGTGTCAGGCAGTGGGAGGTGTGTGTAGTGCCTGACAGTGGGAGGATGTGTGTAGTGTAGTGTCCAGACAGGTGGAGGTGTGTGTAGTGATCCAGACTGTGGGAGGTGTGTGTAGTCTGTCCAGACAGTGGGGAGGTGTGTGTAGGGTCCAGACAGTGGGAGGTGTGTGTAGTGGTCCAGACTGTGGGAGGTGTGTGTGTGTCCAGACAGTGGGATGTGTGTTGTAGTGTCCATTTTACAGTGGGAGGTGTTGTTTAGTGTCCAGACAGTGGGAGGTGTGTGTAGTGTCCATCTGTGGGAGGTGTGTGTAGTGTCCACACAGTGGGAGGTGTGTGTAGTGTCACACAGTGGGAGGTGTGTTGTAGTGTCCAAACAGAGGGAGGTGTGTGTTGTGTCCAGGATTGAGGGTGAGTGTTGTAGTGTCCATACAGTGAGGAGGTGTGTGTAGGGTCCAGACAGTGGGAGGGTGATGTAGTGTCCATACAGTGGGGAGGTGTGTGTAGTGTCCACACAGAGGGAGGGTTTGTAGTGTCACACAGTGGGAGGTGTGCTGTAGGTGTCCAACAGTGGGAGGCGTGTGAGTGTCAGAAATGAGGGAGGTGTGTATTAGTGTCTGTGGGAGAGGTGTGTGTTGTGTCCAGAATGGAGGGATGGGTGTGTGTAGTGTCCAGACTGAGGGAGGTGTGTGTTAGTGTACAGAATGAGGGAGGGGTGTGTAGGTCCGACTGAGGGAGTGTGTATAGTGTCCAGACAGTGGGAGGTGGTGTATAGGTGTCCAGACATGTGGGAGGTGTGTGTATGTCAGACTGAGGGTAGGTTGTATAGTGTCCAGACAGTGGGAGGTGTGTATAGTGTCCAGACAGTGGGAGGTGTGTGTAGTGTCCAGACTGAGGGAGGTGTGTATAGTGTCCAGAATGAGGGTGGAGTGTGTAGTGTCCAGACAGTGGGAGGTGTGTGTAGTGTCCAGATGGAGGGAGGTTTGGTGTGTAGTGTCAGAGTGAGGGTGGAGTGTGTAGTGTCCAGCCAGTGGGTGGTGTGTGTAGTTGTCCAGAACCCAAAGTGGGAGGTGTGTGTAGTGTCCAGACTGAGGGAGGTGTGTGTAGTGTCCAGGACTGAGGGAGGTGTGTATAGTGTCCTGACAGCGTGGGAGGTGTGTATGTGTTCAGACAGTGGAGGAGTGGTGTAGTGTCCAGACTGAGGGAGGTTGTGTTTAGTGTCCAGGGAATGAGGGTTGGAGGTGTTAGTGTCCAGACAGTGGGAGGTGTGTGTGTGTCCAGATGAGGGTGAGTGTGCAGTGTCAGACAGGATGGGAGTGTGGATAAGTGTCAGACAGTGGGAGGTTGTGTGTAGTGTCCAGACTGAGGGAGGTGTGTATAGTGTCCAGAATGAGGGTGGAGTGTGTAGTGTCCAGACAGTGGGAGGTGTGTGTAGTGTCCAGAATGAGGGTGGAGTGTGCAGTGTCCAGACAGTGGGAGGTGTGTGTAGTGTCCAGAATGAGGGTGGACTTGTGTTGCAGTGTCCAGACAGTGGGAGGGTGGTGTAGAGTCCAAGACGTGGGAGGTGTGTGGCAGTGTCCTGACAGTGGAGGAGTGTGTAGTGTCCAGACTGAGGGAGGTGTGTATAGTGTCCAGAATGAGGGTGGAGTGTGTAGTGTCCAGACAGTGGGAGGTGTGTGTAGTGTCCAGAATGAGGGTGGAGTGTGCAGTGTCCAGACAGTGGGAGGTGTGTGTAGTGTCCAGACTGAGGGAGGTGTGTGTAGTGTCCAGACAGTGGTAGGTGTGTGTAGTGTCCAGACAGTGGTAGGTGTGTGTAGTGTCCACCTTGACGTCGAGGCCAGAGACGCTGAAGAGTCCATGACGGTCAACGTTGGAGAAGACAGAGGGAGCGTGGTCCACCGCCAGCACCAGCACTTTCTGGCCACCCAGGTCACCCACCTGCTACACACATACCTTATATAGTTACACATGTAACTGCTGACACTCTCCTGTTACTTAATGATTATTATCATTATGTCTTCCACATCGACTGCAAAGGTTGATTAGTTGTTTAATTGGTGTTAGAACCTATCCAGTACGCGACATACAGAATGATATACATGCGCCTTTCACTGTATATATTCTGTGGTCTGCGAAAGATATTTCTCAAGTGAAAAAAATATCAAGATCTATATAAACATCGACGCAAAAACATATACATAAATAAGGCATATAACGAGAGAAAAACATATAACTGCCGCTATTACGAATATTTCGAGATTATGAAATATGCTTAATCACGAATAAAATTTTGAATGCCTTTTTTTTTACCTTATTGGGGAAAAAATCAACTTTCTTGAGGAAGGAGAAGCCTCTCCAGCATGTGAGAAAGTGCAGGTTAGTGTGTCCATACAGCCAGTTAGTATAGACTGCGAGGTCTCCCTCCCTGACTCCTGGTCTGCATCATACACACACATGAAACATCAATTAATATATTAGTATAGGTATATGCACTGGGCAGCACAAGTGTACACACAATACCTCGAACTCTGTCTCAGAATTATTTTAGCATATAACAAGTCCACGGACGCAAATCCTAGATGTGAAGGATAGTGGGATGGTGTAAATTGCAGAGAGGCAAATATGAGAGAGTATTAGGTGGTATCTGTTAAGTAGTGTCAACCATCAAGTTGTGTAACAGACGAGCGAAATGTGAAGTTGTCTAGACTGTTAAGGCTCTGTACAGTTTATAGTTAATAAAATTGAGTACACTAGCAGTGTAATGCTACACTAGCAGTATAATGTTACACTAGCAGTGTAATGTTACACCAGCAGTGTAATGTTACACTAGCAGTGTAATGTTACACTAGCAGTGTAATACTACACTAGCAGAGTAAGGCTACACTAGCAGTGTAAGGTTACACTAGCTGTGTAATGTTACACCAGCAGTGAAATGTTACACTAGCAGTGTTCTACACTAGCAGGAAAAGGCACACTAGCAGTGTAATCTACCTAGCAGTGAAAATCTACATACAGGTAAATGCTACACAGCATTAATCTACACTAGAGTGAAAAAATATGTTACACTGCAGGAAATCACATAGCAGTGTAATGTTACACTAATTTAAGCTACACAGCAGTGAAATGCTAACTAGCTTTAATACTACACTAGCATTTAAGTACACTACAGTTAATGAAAATAGATGAAAAACTACATGCAGTGAAAGCTACCCCAGCATGAAAATTTAACTACATTAAAACCCAGGGTAAGGCTACATAGCGGTAATGCTACACTAGCAGGTAATGCACACTAAAAGGAAATTTTACTAAAAATTTTCACTAGCAGTGAATGTACCCAGCATTTAAAAATTTACCAGCAGGTAATGCACACTGCAGTGAATGCTAAAAACCCCAGCGTGTAATGTTTTACACTACAGTGTAATCACACACAGTGTAATCTAACTGAGGTAATGCTACCTACAGTGTAATCTACACTACAGTGAAATGCTACACCACAGGTAAGAAAAACTAGCATGAATGCTACACTACAGTGTAATGCAACATAGCGTTAATCTACCTAGCAGTGTAAGCTACACTACAGTGTAAGCACACTAGCACTGTAATATACATAGCAGTGTAAATGCACATACCCTGTAAAACTACACTACAGTGTAATGCACCTAGCATGTAAGCAAACCACTTAAAGCAAAAAAGAAATACTCCTAGCTGTAATTTACTACATTAAGCAAAAAGTGTAATGCTACATAGCAGTTAAGCTACCTAGCATTAATACTACACAGCTTTTTAATGCAAAACCTAGCAGTGAATGCAACTCATGTAATCCTACACTGCCGTAATCTCATGCAGTGTAATGCTTGGGTAAACTACACTGTAACTACACTAGCATGAAATTGCACACTAGCAGGAATTTAAACACTAGCAGTGTAATGCTACATAGCAGTGAAATGCTACACTACAGTGTAAGCTACACTAGATGTAATGCTACACTACGTGTAATGCTACACTACAGGAAAAGCTACCTGCGGGAAAATGCTACCTAGCATGTAATCCCTCACTGCAGTGTAATTACACAGCAGTGTAATGACCTACTTGTAATCTCACTACATGAAATCTAAAACTAGCAGTGTAATGCTACACTAGCATTAAATACTACAACATGAAATGCACATACAGTGAAATGCTACACAAAGCACTGTAATACACAGCATGTAATAAACACTAGCGTGTAATGCAAACTAGCAGTGAATGCTACACTAGTGTAAACTCCAGAAATTTTAATCTACACTCATGTAATGCACATAGCATGTAATCTACATAGCATGAAATTTTACATAGAAAGGTAATGTTTCCCTAGCACTGAATCCCTACAAACAAAAGAGGTAAAAATTTGGGCTACACTAGCATGTAATCTACACTAGCATGAATGCTACCTCGTGAAAACACACAGCTTGAAATCTCACAGCAGTGTTTTCTAACGCATGTAATGCTCCCTAGCATGAAATGCTACACTCAGTGAAATGCACACTAGCAGTGAAATGCTACACAGCACTGTTTTTCACAGCATGTAAGCACACTAGGAGGTAAGTACACCCAAACTACACAGCATTAATGCTACCTAGCTTTTAAGCCCCACATTTAAAACAAAATGTAATGTACACTACCCGTGTAATGTACACACAGTGTAATGCACACTAAAAAATTTAACCTGCACAAATACCCCAACCGAATGCTACACTAAGAATGCCCAACACAAAAAAGTGTAATTACACTAGCAGTAATCTTCATAGAAAAACTCCCAGTAATACTACCTAGCAGTTGTTCATGGGTTATCCCAGCCTAAAGCTACACTAGCAGTGTATTCACCATTTTTAAGCAATCCATTAATTACCTAGCTGTGACCAAGTACACTAGCATGTAATGCTCCACAGTGTAATGCTACACTAGATGTAATCTAAAACTACAGTGAAAACACACTAGCAGTGTAATGCCCTAAAATTAACATAGCTGAAATCTAAAACTGCAGGTAAGCTACACTAGCATGTAATGCGCACTCAAACCAACTAGCAGTGAATGCTCCCTGGGGAGTGTAATGCTACACTAGCAGTGAAATTTAATGCTTAAACTCACTACGGAAATTTTCCCAAAACAAAAGCAGTGTAATGCTACACAGCAGTGAAAATTTACTACTTTAAACAACCTAGCAGGTAATGCACACAGCGTGTAATCTTTCAAAAATGTAAAAAACCCTGCGTTTAATGTACACTAGCATGTAAACTCACTGCATGTAAGCACACTACATTGTAATGCACACAGCAGTGAAAACTACCCAGCAGTTTTAGCTACACTACATGTAATGCCCTCACAAACTAGCAGTGAATTACCGCATTTACACTGCAGTGTAATGCTACACTAGCAGGTAACTACACCCTTTAGCACACAAAAAAATGCCCGGGGGGAAAGCTACACTAGCATGTAATGCACACAGCAGTGAATCTACCTAGCTAATCACACGGGTTTGTAATGCTTAAACATCATAAAATGTACACTAGCATTTAATACACACGGTGTAATGCTACACAGCATGTAATCTACCCTAGCATTGTTAATCCCCTACACCTAGCAGTGAAATGCTACACTGCATGAATCTCACACAGTGTAAGCTACACTAGCATGAATTACACTCATGAAATCCCACTACAGTGTAACTACATAGAAAGTAATGCTACCAGCATGAAAAACTACCACATGAATGCTACACTACAGTGTAAAAACACAGCAGTGTAATGCCCTAGCAGTGAAAATGCACACTAGCTTTTAAATGCTACACGCAGTGTAATGCTCATAGCATGAAATTACACTAGGGGGTGTAATGCTAACACAACAGGAAAATGCAACACTGCAGTAAAAACTACACTAGCAGGTAATGTACACTGGCAGTGAATACACAAACATGTATGCTACACACATGAATGCAAAACACACATGTAATACTACAACAGTGTAAATTACACGGAGTGAAATCTACACTAGCATGAATGCACACTAGCATGTAATCACACTAGCATGTAATCACACTACTGTAATACACACAGCATGTAATGCACACAGCGTAAATGCTACACTACCCGGGGTTACTCACACAGGTAATGCTACACTAGCAGGTAAACAAATGAAACCCCAACAGTGTAATGCACACTAGCAGCTAACGTTAACAACCTAGCAGGTAATCTACACTAGCATGTTAGCTACACTAGCTGAAATCTACATGCATTTAATCTCACTGCATGTAATGCACACACAGTGAATTACACTGGCAGGTAAGCTAATCATGAAAATGCTACACTCCCTGAAATTCTACACAGCAGAAAATTTCCCCTAGAGTTAATGCCCCTTTCACTGTAAAACTACACTAGCTGAAAATCCTCACAGCAGGTTAAAAAAAAAAAGAATTTTAAAAAAAATGCTACACTAGCACTGTAATACACTACAATGTAATGCTACACTAGCATTTTAGCTACATAGCATTGTAATGCTCACTAGCAGTGAAATGCTACACAGCACTGTAATATACACGCAATGTAATGCTACACTAGCAGTGTAATCTACACACACTTAATCACTGCAAGAATGCTACACAGCACTAAAAATTCACTGCAGGTAAGTACACAGCAGTAAAACTACACTTCACTTAATGCAACACTAGCGGTAATACTACCAACTGTAATGTACACAACAGTGTAATTCTACACAGCAGTGTAATGCTCACTACCCCGTAATGCTACACTACGTGAAAAGCTACACTAGCATGTAAAGCTACACAGCACGTAATGCTAACTAGCATGAAGCTACACTACGTGTAATGCTCACTGCAGGAAATGCTAAATAGCATGTAATGCACACTAGCTGTAATGCTACCTACGGAACCCAAAATGCGGAAGCACCCAGCGTGAAATGTACAAAGCATTAAAATTAACTAGCGTGAATGCAAAAGCGGTAATGCTACACTAGCCGTAAAAAACACAGCAGTGTAATATACAAAAGCGGGGAAGCACACTAGCGTGTATGCACACTAGCACAAAATACAAACACTAGCATGAAATGCAACAGCAGGAAATTCACACACATGAATACTACCTAGCACTTAATGCACACAGCAGTGAAAAGTACACACCTGAATCTACCTAGCAGTGAAAAGCTACACGCGCGAAAATACTACACTAGCAGGAATGCACCAGCAGTGAATGCACACTACGTGTAAGCTACACTAGCAGTGTTGCCACTACATGCAAGCACCTAGCAGTGTAATGCAACCTGGCAGTGTAATGCTACACTAGCAGTGTAAGCAACACACTGTGAAATGCACACTAGCAGTTAATGTACACTAGCACGAAAAACACACTAGCGTGTAATGCTACACAGCAGTTAATGCTACACACACTGTAAACACCTAGCAATGTAATCTACATTTCAGTGTAATGCTACACCACTGAAACACTAGAAATGTAATGCTCACTAGCAGGTAATGCTACACAAAGCAGTGAAATGCTACCTAGCATGTAATGTACACGCCCTGTAAAAATACACGCAATGTAAGCTACACTAGCAGTGTAATGCACACAGACTGTAATACAAGCAATGTAAGCTACACAGCCTGAAATACTTCATAGCATGAATGCACACACACTGAATACTACACTAGCACTGCAAGACACTACCGTGTTAAAACCACAATGAAGCTCACTAGCGTGAAAATCAACACTAAGGTAATGCTACACTAGCACTGTAATGACACAGCATGAAATGCTACACAGCAGTGAATTTCTACACTAGCATGTAATGACATGCTTAAGCTACACTAGCTGTAATGCTCATAGCAGTGAAATGTACACTAGCAGTGTAATGCTACACTACAGTGTAAGCTACACAGAGTGTAAGCTACACAGCACTGTAATGGGAAACCCTTTTAGCTAAACTGGCTGCTAATCTTTAAAGCCAAAAAGAATGAATCATTAAGCTCCCAAAGGTCAGGTAAGCTTATAGAGACAGTGGCGCAGTAATACCGCCCAAGGAAACAACAAACGTAACGAGAAAAAATTATATGTTATACGATACCCCTCCTGTACGGTTGCTTGGGTGAGGTTTATCAGGAAAAATAACTGGTTTCCTAAAAGCTGGTCTATTCAAATTACCCACAGCTGGAGCTTTTAGCCATCTGCCGAGGCCTTCCCGCTGGCTCCCTCTGCCCCCCTTTTAAAAAATTATGGTTTGTTAAAACCCTTTTAACATTCCTGGTTCTGGGTTAACCATTTTGTTTTTTAAAAGCAGTATACTTAGTTAAACACTTGTTATACAGCTTACAACAACATGCACTTAGGAGATTATTATTATTATTATCAAAAAGAAGCGCTAAGCCACAGGGGCTATACAGCAGCTCATAGGAGAGAAAAAGTTATGACGATGTTTAGCTCCGTCTTTGACTACTGACGAGTCCATAATTAATAATGCACTTAACATGAGGTCACAGTTCATTTATTAAAGTAAGATACTTTGGTAACAGACTCCAACAAATTAGGTTATAAAAAACACTTTAGGAAACAGTAAGACATATATATATATCTTAGAAAACTGTTTTAAGTAAACGCCTGTGAAGGAAGCCAGGGTGGGTGTGTGTCTGACTGATACCAGAGCAGGACTGGCGACAGCAAGTCTGGCAAATATTGCTCAGAGCAGAGAGAGTAGTAGAGACGGTAAGCAAGAGTGTAGCAGTGACGCGGTTTACAGTGAATATGTGGCTGGCAAGACTGTAAAATAGAGGAATGGGGACAAAAATGATGTCACCATTATCTTTGTGATGGTGGAACAATAATGTGTGTGTTTGACTGACTTTTATATTGTATTGGTTGTGCCTTTTGTCGAGTTAGTGTTTGTTGAATATTGAGGGTAAACTTTGATTATAATAGCCATGTGCAGTTATGGGACCACCTGTGTTCTCAGACAGATGGTGCAGCTATGGGACCACCTGTGTTCTCAGACAGATGGTGCAGCTATGGGACCACCTGTGTTCTCAGACAGATGGTGCAGCTATGGGACCACCTGTGTTCTCAGACAGATGGTGCAGCTATGGGACCACCTGTGTTCTCAGACAGATGGTGCAGCTATGGGACCACCTGTGTTCTCAGACAGATGGTGCAGCTATGGGACCACCTCTACATTTGCAAATGAATTTCTTTGTAATTATAAAGAATTATGCTCATTAATAACCCACATGGAGACAAACACAGGAGGTTGACTAATCTGTATCTTTCGACCCCCTTCTGGGATCCTCTTCAGCAGATGAAGGGGATCGACATATACAGATCAATCAACCTCTTGCGTTTATATCTCCATGTGGGTTATTATTGAGCACTGACAAGCGTTTATTATATTTTAGTTAATGATGAAGAATTGTGGTTAGCCAGCTCACTATCCTGTAATTATTTGCATGATCGTAGATCTGTGAATGACATCTTAATCTTAAAGGGCAGATCTCGTGTCAGTGATTTTGTAATTTTTCACAGTTGCAAGCATGTTAACATGAAAGTTACTTGTGACTTCCATGAAGGTGACTTACATGATGAAGAGAACTTGAGACATTTTCTGCAGCTTGTACATCGTTGCTATACGCTGAAGATCAAGTGAAGATGACAGAGAGAACATGACGTACCGTCCCTGCCAGTCCCAGGCATCGTCGTCAGAGTCCAGCAGCTCACTCAGCTCCAGCAGGTTCTTCCACAAAACATTAACATTATTACGGTAAACTCTCTTATATAGCTGCTCCACGTAACAACATAAGAAAGGAGGAGCACTGCTGAAGGCTGGTTAAAAATTGTATACAATACCGACAAGTTGAAGATTAAGACACGTGTGTAACAGTTGGGTGTCTTTATTGATGAAACGTTTCGTCTACACAGTAGGCTTCTTCAGTCAAATACAGAGGCAGCAGCAGTAATGAAATGAAGATGATGTAATCAGTCCATCACCCTTGGAGAAAAAGTACTTGAGGTGGTCAGTCCCTCAGCCTGGAGAAGAGTTCAGCTCCATGGAGCTAAACTGTTGCACATGTGTCCTAATCCTCAACTACAGCAGGCCTACTGGCCCATACTAGGCAGGTCTTTCTCAAACCCAAACCCACTAATAAAAGTAATCGCCCAACCGATTTTCAATGCTACTCAATGAATAGACTTCAATAACTCATGTGTAAATCACACTTAAATCCAACCCCTCTTACTCATATATTTATATAGCCTAGTGATATTTTTTTTAAGTAGGATTTAAGACAAAAGTTCACTGAAGGCTGGGTAGCACGTGAATACTTCTTCATATTAGGTGATAGTCAATTTTTGGATAGGATTTTTTTTTTTCAATTTGCAAGAAAAGTAAAATATCGCAGGATATATGGAACAGTTTTATAAGAGAGTTTGTATTACAGTCATGAGGAGGCTAGTGAATAATCCTGGGGCCCTTACACTTGATAAATTAGACGCATGTGCAACACTTGGGTATCTTTATTGAGGAAACGTTTCGCCACACAGTGGCTTCATCAGTCCTATACAAAGAAGATTCGTGAAAATCATAAGGAGATTGAGGTAATCAATCCCTCAGCCTGGAGTCGACATTATCAGTCCATCAGTCTTGAAAAAGAATACAGTATATGTGTGGAGAAAAACCTCCGGTTAGAAGGGGGCGATATCCCCCCTCCTGAAAGGGGAGTTGTGAACGGGCTTTCTTCCTTGTTCCCACACCGAGTTATTAGAAACATATGTTGGACGAAGAGTCACAAGAAACACTGCTCCTCACCAGAGTACATGCCCACCAGTACACACGAGTGGAGACATGAGGGAACTGCTATTTTCTCATAGCATTAAAATTTCAAATTAAAACATCCCCTACTCGATAATCAAGCTAGGGGTATTACGGCTCCCTAACCGCGCCTAGAACACCAAGAAGCACTGATTCTATGTTGTGTTCTTTTGCAGAGGCTGGCAATAAATGTCTATAAGACAGAGTCAGCAGATCACCCTGGAGAAAGAAGAGCCGGGGCAAGGAGTGTCAGATTGCGACTAACATTCCAAGGCGTGAATGTGTCACAGAGGGCACTGCAAATGCGTAACCCTCCCGCTGAAGAACAGAGACAGCAGTGATGTGTGCATTCGTAGATCATATTGATAATCTCCAGAGACACTAGAAGTTAATCTGGTCCCTTAGCAAGTGAGCGAAATCCCTCGGTAAAGTTAATCATGTGTATAAATCAACTAGTGTTACGCATACTGAGTCGTTAATTCAAGGTGAACTCATGAATGAGTGATAGTGAACTGACAGTAGAGTGTACCCGGTGTGCCTGAGTGATTAAGAGCGATAATGTGCCTCGAACTTTCCCGAGTGACTCAATCCGTTCATCATTACATCGTTCAAGCTATGGATACCGGTTTCGTGTTGCTTCCAACGACACAGGGCTCCCGTTACAACCAGCCAAGCAGGTCTTATTCCCCCTTACATGCGCCCCTTTACCATACTGCAGTATTTAGGTCATTTTTAGTACGAACAAGGCCCACCTTACTGAAGCGGTTATTCGCAAAAGAACACCTAATAACAAGTGCGAATATCCCTCTGTATTCCGGGTATTCTGACATTCTGAAATACATTTTTAGGGTGAATATTGAAAGCCTCAGTGGGTGAACTACAGTCATTTCGGAGGAGATCCCTTGAACAGCAGCTGCGCGGGGTCTGAGCTGTCACCGAAGATAAGTACCCTTTTTTATTGTCATATATTTCTTATAGCATACTAGCAATATACGCGAAGTGGCTTATATACTGTAGACAGGTGAGATGAAGCAGTCGTAGGCGATATCACACTAGATGAATCCATAGATGGAAGTAGGTCATGACTATAGATTAGGCAAATGAAGAATTCCCTGTATCAAGATCCCAAGGTGCTGCTGTGTCTAACAGGAATGTGGATAAATGGTTCAGAGAACCGACAAGTTGATAAATTAGACACATGTCTAATTTATCAACATGTCGGTTCTCTGAACCGTTTATCTACGCCCCTTATACTTATTGTGTTGTCTCAGTGATTTCTGTGTGCAGTTCTTTGATTTGTTTGCAAATCTGTGATTTATGTGTGCAGATCTGTGATTTATGTGTGCAGATCTGTGATTTATGTGTGCTGAGCTGTGATTTATGTGTTCAGAGCTGTGATTTATGTGTGCGCAGATCTGTGATTACCTGATTACCTCATCTTTTGTATATACAGTGGAACCTCTGGTCACGAACGCTTCCAACATGAACAAATCGGTTCACGACCAAAAAATTCACAAAATTTTTGCTTCTGGTCACGAACACATAATCGGGTGCGGAACAAATAGCCGCGGAAATTTTCACATTCCGCACCATTTTTTTTGCATGCACCAATTTTCCCCTCTTCCTGTTGCTTGTGTACAACTAACTCTGTCATTTAAGTTTTTTTTCTCTATTAACTGTGCATTATTTTGTATAAGTAAGGATTTATTAGACTTTGATTATTCATAAATTAAAGTAATCACGTCCGTGATAAATTCGAATTAGCAATGTTTTATCAGCAGGAAGTGCACTAACAGCTTCTCGCAGTGCCAGTACCCGGCTAGGGCTTCCCATATATGATTTTTGGTAAATATTTTTTTCTCAGTTGTTTGTTGGGCTGTCTTATTGAAATTTGGAACTTGGGCAATATATGATGGAAAGATGCTTCTTAACGTACACCAAAAATGAAAGAAATCGGACGATAAATAACAGAGTTTACTGCTCAGCCATTAGACGCCCCTTAAAACTCTTAGGATTCATGCAATGTTAGTTTTCTCTGTTATTCAAGGTTTTCTCAGTGTTATTCAAGGTTTTCTCAGTGTTATTCAAGGTTTTCTCAGTGTTATTCAAGGTTTTCTCAGTGTTATTCAAGGTTTTCTCAGTGTTATTCAAGGTTTTCTCAGTGTTATTCAAGGTTTTCTCAGTGTTATTCAAGGTTTTTACATTTAGTTTACTATTACATTGTGCATTCTATGGTATAATTAAATATTTTTGTCGTTAAAAATCTTAAAAAAAATATTTATATGCAGTTCGTAGGTGTCTGGAACGGATTAATCGTATTTACATAAAATCCAATGGGGAAATTAGGTTCGGGTCGTGACCAGAGTTTTGGAACGAATTATTTTCACGACCAGAGATTCCACTGTAGTTCTACCGTCTTCCAATTATGTTCAGGGATTTGTATTGATAAAGCCACTGGATGGCGAAACGTCTACAATAAAGATACCCAGATGTTGCACATGTGTCTAATTTTCATTGCGCCTTTTTGCTTTTTATGGTGCATCATCCTTCTTGTAGACTGCTTCTCCATCGTCAATGATATTCTGAAGCCGACCAGAAGAAACTTAACATTAAGGTCTACTTGGGATACCTAACATTAAGGTCCACCTTCTGGGATACTTAACATTATGGTCCACCTTCTGGGACACCTAACATTAACCTCCACCTTCAGGGATTCCTAACATTAATGTCAGGTATCCCTGAAAGTGGACCTTAATGTTAGGCATCCCTGAAAGTGGACCTTAATGTTAGGTATCGGAGAAAATGGATACTAATGTTAGGTATCCCAGAAGGTGGATCTTAAGGTAAGGTCCACTTTCAGGGATACCTAGTAAGCATAGGTGAAAAAAACAAGTGACTGACCTGGGCAAGGATGATGTAGTAGTCGCAGCAGGTGTTCCGCCAGGCACCTGTCATCTCTCTCACAATACTGCAGACAACACCTGTACAGACAAACAACACATGTACAAACAACTCAGACACAGATGCTG